GAGTAATAAATTTGGGGCAGTAATCCTGCCCTATTAGAAGTAAAAGGGCTGATAATTATCAATACAGATGAGTAGAGACCTGCAGCCTCTGGGTGTGAAAGGAATTGAGTTAAGTCTAAAATCAATCAGACAGTAAGTAAGCTGTCACTAATAATGACAGAAACACTAACCTCCAGTATTAAGCCCGTAACTTTTTGGACCGCCAATACTTTTTGCTGCCAAATGCTTTGGCTTTTGCCCGAGTATGTGGGTATTAGTGATGAATTAGTTGGAGTAACTATAATTATGCAGCTTTCCACAAGAGATTATATTATTTTCATATTGTTTTTATCATATTTCACAAATATCAATGTTTATGTAATTTATATGATAACCTGAATACATTTCTGTAATTGATTGTCATTCTTGCATATCGAAGGGATGTCTAAACTATCCTTTTTTTTTGTGGAAGCTATGCTATACAAATACCAAATCACTTAACTTTTAAAAATTATATCAGAAGGTTATTGTCACACACATTTTTAAACTGTCATATTTAGGAGACTAATTGAGATTCATTTTGATAGATATCTTTGGTGATAAATAGATTGCCTTCCACTATGTATTAAAGAACAGCTTGTTTTCTTTGGATTACAATTTTATGGTAAAATGAAAATAATTTTTTATTTCTCATAATTTATGATATTATCATATCTTGTTACATAAAATGACAATGAACAAAAACAATCCTGCTGTTGCAATCTGTGCTGAAAACCTTCCTTAAACTACACTGTCTCCATTTCTATCTGTAGCTATAGCTGTAGAAGGTTGAAATTTTCTCATGGTATTTGCTGGATGACGTTAATACCTGGTTATAATAGGCACCAACAATATAACATACATTTACTCAAATTTTAAACAGCCAAACCTCTCTGAATAAATATTGCATGCTTTTAAGATTTGTTCCTGCCCATCAATGTTTTTAAATTACTATTATTAACATTTAATTCCTGTTTATATACAAGTAAAATTAATAAGCATTGCTATAATCTACAATCAGTATTATACATAATCTAAATCTAAATCTAAATCTAAATAAGTGCAGCTTTCTAAGAATCACTTATGATTTGTAGGACTATATTGAATTGGAGGAATAAAAAGTTTTTAAGACATTTAAATACCTCAGAAGCTCACTTTCATCAGGTTTGAGAATGCTAACACCTATTGAGTCATTTACCTATGGTTTGAATAATTTATGTATGTTCTATGACACTGGTACCAAACATTTGGGAATCTTGCGATGTGCATGAGGAGTTGTTCTTCCTGAAAACTCGGATGGTTACATTGGGAAAATATAACATGGCGGATTATAGTTCTAGGTCTGGAGACACACTGCTGGTATTCAAAACTGGTCATTTCCAATTACATGACCAAAGATCTCAGTTTCATTATGTGTAAAATATGACTGAAATAATTTATTAAACAAATGAGAAAAGTGCCATATCTAAAACCCTGATAATTCTTGTCATTTCAGCAAAGCTCAACAAATACTAGCTATTGCCATATTAAGTAGATTCTAAGGTACATTTTTATGACATTTCAACATCCCTGAAACAGGATGTATATTTCAGTCTACATTTTCTTACAATTACTGGAGGCTACTATGCAGTCACAGCACTGTTGCCAATTGATAAACCTCAAGACAAACCGCATTAACACTTAAAGACCGAAGGCGCATCTTTTCATTTTAACAAGGTCTTTTTCTTTTTAATTTTTAGACAAAGGGAAAGGAAGGGAGAAAGAAAGGGAGATAAATATCAATGTATGGTTATCTCTTATGTACCCTCAACTGGAGGCCTGCAAACCAGGCACGTGCCCTGACTGGGAATCAAACCAGCGACCTTTAGGTATGTGGCTGGTGCTCAGTACACTGAGCCACACCATCCAGGGTTTGCAAAGTTTTGTTTTTTTTTTAAATTTCTCTAAACAATGGTTTTAAATGTAAAGACTTAGAAATGTTTTGATATGACTATTTCAAATGAGTTTATGTTTGGGGATGCTATGAAAATAGTATTTTCTTTTCCAAATTTTTATTGTTAATACACACATATATATATGCATATGTATACACGTATGTTATAGAGAGATAATTGATTTTAGATGGACCTTATATCCTGTGACATTATAAAATATATTTGTTGGGTCTAATAGTTTTATTTTGTAGATTATGCAGGATTTGCCATGCACATATTCCTGTAGTCTTCAAATAGAGTTTTTTTCTTGCTGATGTGTATTTTTAACCTTGACACTGCAGTGTCAAGTGCATCATGTACAATGATGAGTAGATATCATGTTTGTGTTTCTAACTTTACAGGAAAAGTGTTCTGTCTTTCATCTTTAAGTAAAATACTAGTTGTGAGTTTCCATAGATGTCCTATATCAGGCTGAGGGAATTTGACTTTATTTTAAGTTGGATGAAAATGTTTTTCATCAAGGGTAGTAACTAGAGGGCAGGGGAGAGGGGGATAATAGGAGAAAGAAGGGGAAGGGACAAGCAAAGGAACATGAATAGAGGACTCATGGGCACAGACAATGGGGGTTAAGGTGGGAGTGGGGCAGACAGGGTAGAGATGCGCAATGGAGTAAAACACAGGACCAATAAAAATGAATAAATGTGGCTTTTTGGTACCCTAAAAAGGGTACTTTTTCACTTAGCATAACATTCTCTAGTTCCATCCATGCTGCCAGGAAAGGTAGGCATTCATTCTTTCTTTTTGCTGTGTAGTACTCCGTTGTGTAAATGTGCCATTTTTTGATCCACTCATTTACTGTTGGGCACTTAGGCTGTTTCCAACACTTGGCTATTGTGAATTGTGCTGCTATGAACATTGGGTGCATAGGTTCTTTTAAATGGATGTCTCAGGCCCTGGCTCCTGTGGCTCAGTGGATTGAGCTCTGGCCTGTGAACCAAAGGGTCACTGGTCCATCTCCCAGTTGGGGCACATGACTGGGTTGGGAGCCAGGTTCCCCAGTCTGGGGAGTGTGAGAGGCAACCAGACGTTGATGTCTCTCTCCCTTTCCTTCTCCCTCCCTTCCCCTCTATCTAAAAATAAAGAAATAAAATATTTTTTAAAATAAAAATAAAGAATTAATTGATGTTTCAGGATTTTTAATATATAATCCCAGCAGTGGCATTTCTGGGTAAAAAGGCAATTCCATTGCTAGTTTTTGGAGGAAATTCCATACTGTTTCCCACAGTGACTGCACCATAGGATCTCACCTATAAGTGGAAGCTAACCAACAAAACAAACAAGCCAGCAACATATAACCAGAAACATGGAAATAAAGAACAAATTGACGGTGACCAGAGGGAAGGGGGACAGGGATAATGGGGAAGAAGGAAAGGAACATGTATAAAGAAACATGTATCAAGGAACATGTATAAAGAACATGGACAAAGACAATGTTGGGGGAGGATTGAATGTGGGAGGTGTTGCTGGGTAGGGCCGGAGAGAGTAATGGAGGGAGAATGGGGACAACTATAATTGAACAACAAAAAAAAGGATTAACTTTTTTGAAATTTAAATATTTATGCATGCAATTTTTCTTTTTAGTTTATTGGTAGACAAATTACATTTTTTGTTTTTTAAACATTAAACCAACCTTACATTATTGAGATAAATTCAAGTCATGGTCATGGTGTGTGCCTTTCTATATATAGCTATATATAATTTGCTAATATTTGTTAAGAAGTTTTTGCATTGATATACATGAGGGCTGTTGGTCCATAGTTTTCATTTCTTATAATGCCTTGTTCTGGTTTGATTATCCTGGTAATGCAGGCCTCATATACTCAATTAGGTTGTATTTCCATTTTCTCAATTTCTGTTTTCAGAAATAGTTTAGGTAAGATTGGTGGAGTACACCAACCTAGTCCTTTGGACCTATAGTTTCCTCTTCTGAAAACTGTTTAGTTTATAAATTAAGTTTGCATATTCAATATCTTTAAAGCTAAAGTGTTACTTATATTTTATATCCCTTTTGAAGTAATTTTTTATTATTTTTTAATTATTTAAATTTATTTCTAAATTGTTTATGCTGTTATAACAAATAGACTAGATAGATTGCAAAATGAAACAAATATTTATATCTCACAGGTCTACAGGCTGAGAATTCAAGTTCAAGAACCAGTTAAATTGATTCCTGGTGAGATGTTCCTCCCAGTTTACAGGTTGTCTGCTTACTGTACTTTCCAATGGCAGTGAGAAGTCATCTCTCCTTATCTCCAATTTTAAGGATGCCACCCTCATGATAGAATTATCTACCAAAGACTCTACCAGAAGTTTACCAAACATTCTATCCAAAGCAGCAGAATACATTCTGCTCATTTGCACATGGAACATTGTCCAGGATAGATCATATGTTAGGCCACAAAACAAATCTTTGTAAATTGAAAAATATTGAAACCATATCAAATGTCTTTTCTGACCACAACAGTGTGAAACTAGAAATCAACTAACATGAAGAAAAATGAAGAACTCCTAAATACATGAAGATTAAACAGCATGCTAATGAACAACCAAAGGGCCAAAGAAGTAATAGTGGGGAAAAACACCTTGAGAAATATGAAAATAGAAATACGACTTACCAATATCTGTGGGATGCAGCACAGGACATTCTGATTGGGAAAGTTTACTATTTGTTAAGTGGGTATGTGACTTTTCCATTGATGCTACAACAAATGACCACAAGCCTTGTGCCTTCAAACACACATTTATTATTTTACTATCTTTTATGCCAGCAGTGCTACAGATCTCATCAGACTAAAATAAAGGTGTTAGTAGACTGCATTTCTTTCTAAAGTGTAGGGAAGAATTTCTTTTCTGCACATTTGGTATGTTAGCAGAACTCAGTTCCTTCCAGATGGAGAATCAAGATTTAGATTTGCTTGCTGGCTGCAATCTGAGAGTAGTTTCCTGTACATAGAAATGAGTGCATTCTGTAGGTATTGATCTCTCTCTCATCCACTGTGTGATATCACCAATGGAGAGAGGGAAAGCTTATTGCCTGAGTTCATCAATGGGGACTTGGATTCTATTAGACCTGGAGCTAGAGAATACTGTGCTATTAAGGGATGTGAGCTTATTCTGACTACTGATCAATACCATCCTGACTTTACTAAGTGCTTTGAAGTGCTCAAAAAATGAAACAAACAAAAACAGAAGAAACAGACCTACAGGTAGACGTGATTGTGACACTTGTGATACTTACCTGCTCCAACCAAAGAAGCCCAAATTTCATGTGGACACTAGAATGGAACGTGATGCTGTGGCTTTACTACCGTTGGACAGTCTTGCATTCAGGTTGGGACAAAGGGTCAAAAGTGGAACCTCACAAATTTTGTACTCATTTTCGGGACACTAGTCAGTACCTACAATTCCTATGATGGATCTGGTGTTGTGACCATGAAATGGGCCACCTGTTCCTCTGGACCATGGCCCTCAAAAACTGACCATGGTCTATCCTAGAAAACATACCATGTGTGCTTGAAAATAATGTATATTCTGCTTCTTTGGGGTGAAATACTCTGTAGATATCAATTAAATTCATTTGATTTAGTGTGTCATCTAAGGCCTCTGTCCCCTTGTTGATTTCCTGTCTGAAAAAAATATATTAATGGAAGTCAACAGAGTGTTAAAATCCCCTACTATGACTTTATTTCTGCCATTTTCTCCTCTAATGTCCATCAAGATTTGCTTTACATATTTAGCTGACCCTGTGTTGGGTGCATAAATGTTTACTAGGGTTATATCCTCTTACTGGATTATTCTCTTTGTCATTATGTAATGTCCATTGTTTCTTACTATAGGCTTGGTTTTAACATGTATTTTGTTTGATATAAGTACTGCTACCCCAGCTTTTCCTTTTCCATTTGCATGAAACATCTTTTTTCACCTCTTTATCTTAGTCTGTGTATCTTTCATTCTGATAGGGTTTTTTGGAGGCAGCATATATATGGGTCTGGTTTTCTAATCCATTCAGCTACCCTGCCTTTTGATTGGAACACTTGAGCCATTTACACTTATTTATTTTATACTCTGGTTTCTCTTCAGATTGTATAAATCTTTTGCCTTTTACACTTATTTATTTATTTAAAGATTTTTATTAACTTATTTTTAGAGAGAGGGGAAGGGATAGAGAAAGAGAGGGAGGAAACCATCAATGTGTGGTTGCCTCTAACACATCCCTTAATGGGGACATGGTCTGCAACCCAGGCATGTGCCCTTACTGGGAATCGAACTGGTAATCCTTTGGTTCATAGGCCAGCATTCAATCAACTGAGCCATACCAGCCAGGACTAAGCCATTTACATTTAAAGTGAATATTGATACATACGTATTTATTGCCACTTTTTTACTGTTTTTCTCTGTTTTTTTCTTTTTCTTTTTCTTCTTCCTTTTCTTAAAAAAATATTTTAATATTTGTTTGGTGTTAACAACTCCTTAGCTTTTTCTTGTCTGGGAAGCTCTTTATTTCTCCTTTAATGTTAAATGATAGCGGGTAAGGTAGCTTTGGTTGTAGGTCCTTGCTTTTCATCTCCTTGAATATTTAATGTCAATCTCTGCTGGTCTGAAATGTTTCTGTTGAGAAATCGGTTGACAGTCTAATGGGAGATTCCTTACAGGAAACTAACTCCTTTTCTCTTGCAACTTTTAAAATTCCCCCTTTGTCTTTAAGCTTGGGCATGTCTCTTCTCATCTGGAGCTTCCATAACTGTCTGTTTTCAAATTTAATAATTAGGCCCTTTGGGGCCTAATGGCTCTTTTTTTTTATAATAACAATACAAAAGACAGTAATAAGGCCAAAGTAAAATGGTGCAATTTTAGCATTTCAATCAGGAAAAGAACACTTTTCTGTATTACACAGAAGAATCTATTAATAGATAAATAAATTCAGCAAACTAGCAGGATACAAAATTAATATCCATAAATCAGTTGCATTTTATATGCCAATAATGAACTATCATCAATAAGGAAAATTAAGAAAACAATCCCATTCACAATTGCTTCAAAAAGAATGAAATGCCTAGGAATAAATCTAACCAAGGATGTAAAAGACTTGTACTCAGAAAATTATAAGACACTGAAGAAAGAAATAGAAGATACAAAGAAATGGAAGTGAATACTGTGTTCATGGTAGGAAGAATTAACATCATTAAAATGTCCATACTACCCATAGCAATCTATAGATTCAGTGCAATTTCTATCAAGATTCCAATGACATACTTCATAGGGCTAGAAAAAGTATTTCAAAAATCTATATGGAACAACAAAAGGCCCTGATTCTACCTAGCAACAGTGATCTTGAGAAAGAAAAACAAAGTTGGAGGAGTCACAGTACCTGATATTAAACTATACTATAAAGCTATAGTAATCAAAACAGCATGGTACTAGCATAAAAACAGACACTTAGATCAACAGAAGAGAGAGATGAGAAATAAACCCACACTTTTATATTTAATTAATATTTGACAGAGGAAGCAAGCACTTAAAACAGGCTAAATATAGTTTATTCAATAAATGGTGTTGGGAAAAATGGAGAGATATGTACAGAAAAATGAAACTAGACCACCTCCTCATACCACACACACAAAAATAAATTCAAAATGTATTAAAGAATTAATTGTCAAACCTGCAATCACAAAAATCTTGAAGAAAACATGTTTTAAAATATCAGACATTGCTTTCATCAATATTTCTTTGGATATATCTCCCCAGGCAAGAGAAACAAATTAAAAAATAAACAATACACATCGTGTAGTATGTTAGAGAGTTCTACATAATGAATAGCTATACCTCCTGAAATGCTGGGAGTGCCCTCACTCAAAAACACTGACAAACAGGGTCAGATCTGTACTGGAATGTCTCCATACTGCCTTCCTCAGGGGTTGCACCAATATGCATTCCCACCAACAGTGCACGAGCATCCCTTTTCTCAATATCCTCACCGGCACTTGTTTTTTGTTAATTTATTGATGATAGCCATTTTGATATGTGTGAGGTGATATTTCATTGTGGTTTTAATTTATTTTTCTTTTATGATTAATGACATTGAGCATCTTTTTGTATGTCTATTGGCCATCTCTATGTCCTGTTTGGAGCATTGTCTGTTCAGGTCCTTTGCCCATTTTTTAATTGAATTTTTTTTGGTGTTAAGTTGTGTAAGTTCTTTATAAATTTTGGATATTAACCCCTTATCAGACATATCAGCATATATGTTCTCCTATTAAATTAATGTTTTTTTTTATTTTGTTGATGTTTTCCTTTGCTGTGCAAAAACTTCTTGGTTTCACATAGTTCTATTTGTGTATTATTTTTTAACTTTGTACACACTAAATATCTCCCATCCCTAGTCACTGGAAAACCTAAAGTGCTCACACATTTCAAATTGTTTCTTAGTACTACCACTCTAAATATTAATACATGTTTTTAAAGGGAAGTAAATGAAGTCAGAAATTACTACTGTTGATTTTTCATTTATTTATTTTTTTATCATTTGTTTAACAAGCATATATCGGGTAATTCCAGAGTGACAAATTCTACGCTGGACACTGTATATGCAGAGCACAGAATGCTCTTGACCTAAAGTTCCTTCCATTTCTGTGTTCCATCCTCAAATTAGAGGAGCTATTAACACTGCTATTCAGATTGTAGGGCATTTATTGAGCCACACATACTGTGTTCTAAAATGATTGTTGACACACAATTCTATTTCTTCTAATTCAATCTTTCATACTTTTTGTCTTCTGGATAAGTACTTAATTTTTTTATTTTCCACTCAAATGTGGCAAGTGAGACATTTCTCTGAAGTGATAAATTTGTAGCAAGATTGAAAGAACTCTGGGAAGAGATTTTACTTGAGCCATGAGGTCACTATCCATGCTCTCATGGAACATTATAAAAAGTCCTATCCTATGATAAAAAAAAAACGATTCCAGCTAATGCTTTATCTTATTTCTCATTTTGTATGTGTGTAAATTCTTGGGGACTTCATGTGGGCAGTGGTAAGGTTAAACCAAGATTATAACCCTCTAATAGTATGATTCTTTTCACATTATAAACTTGCCATTATTTGCATTTCTTGAAGTCCTTCTTGTTAGAGTAGGCAGCTAGGAGTTAACAAAAGAGAATAGAACTAGACTGGCTGGGTCAGATTAAGTCTGAAAGTTATACTCAGGTTTAAGTGTAACTTCAGGCTTAAGTCTGAAAGTTCCAGCTTCAGATACCCCAGGGGATAGCTGATTCCTTACCAAAGACATTAATACCATCGAACTGTCTAGGAAGGACCAGCTTTCCAATTCTCCCAGGGTAAAACTAATCTGATTGCCCAGGCTATGGAAGGAGTAACAAAAAATAAAGGTAAAATTTTTCTACTGGGCACATGCACAGTATAAATCAGATGATGCAGCAAAAGTTTGGAGCACAGGCAATAGGAACCAAAATGGTGAAATAAATGGGCTGAGCCTAGCCTGGGAAAAGAATCAGATTGGATAAGGGCATGGAATCCTGGAAGGGTCAGGAATGGGATTGGTTGCAGGGAGGGCCCAACACAAACCAGGGAAAACCCAGGAAGTAGGTTGGGTTATTTGAAAGAAAGCTGGCTACTTTTCAGAAACCTCTGAGCAGATGCTACTAGGGCATGCCCACACTCTGCATCCCTGGAGGTATATTATTGCCTTTCAGCCCAATAGATCTTGCCACTACAATCAAACTTATATCCCACGCATGTGCCCTTTGAAATTTCTTTCTTGCAACACTATAGAATCCATTTCCAACAACAGTGCTTTCACCTCCCTTCCACATTAGTTTCCATACGATAATGCTAATTTTTGAAATATGAACCTTCTTACACAGAAGGGAATGAATAAAAAATAATATTGAACTCATACTAAAAGAGACATAGAAAAAGAGAACCAAACATCAAAGATCAGCAGAGTAACTTCAAGAATCCACCCTGGATTCTAGATTGAGGTAGAGATTTTACAAAGAAAGGAGAGGGCCGTGGGGTGCCAGTGATGGAAGGACACAGAAAACATCAACTAGGACTCCCTCCCTGTGGGGAAATACAGATATCAGGTGTGAGTCTTTGTGGGTCACAGCTCAGCTTAAGAAGGATTTGGGAAAGAGGAAATTAGAAAGTGCCTGGGACAGGAGATTAGGGAAGGTACAGCCTCTAGAGGAGACCAAAATGTTGTGGGAAGGAATAGGTGAGTCTCAGATCTTAACAGTCAAAGGAAAAAATAAATACGATGAAGATAAGGCTACTATTGAAACAAGACAATATCAAAAAATCATGAAGAAGTTTAAAGAATCTTTACTCTTATTTCTAAAAGTGCTGATACCATCAAAAGGAAAAACACTCCTATTTATTCTATTTTTGAAGTTTGCCTCTGTTTGTCATCTCAAGGGTTTCCCCTGTCAGTAGCAGCAGTAGTTATAGGAAGGAACCTGA